TAACATGGTACCATTTGCAGTAGAATAAAAAGTCAAATCCTTAGGAATATATCTAACAAAAGATGTGAAAACCATTTACATAAAATATATAAGATATTCCCGAAATAAATTTGAAAAGACTTAAGGGAAAGAATTACCATATTTGTGAATTGGAAGACTTTGCATTGTGAAGATGTCAGTTTTCCTCAATCATTCTACTCTTAATGCAATCAAAATCCAGGAAGATTTTTATGGAAATTGATAAGCTAATTCTTAATTTTGTATGGGAAATGTTGAGTCATACAGAAAGCCAACATAGTCTTGAAGAAGATGAGCTGCAGTCTGAGGACTTTTGCTACCAGATATACACAGTGTGCCCGAACAGGGAAGAGAGGGGGCTGCCTCCGCTGTCGGTTGGGGAGATGGGAGTCAAGGACGGCTTTGCCCCCCTTTACTTCTGCCCCTTCCTGGCTCCTTCAGCCCCGTGGGTGCAGACAAGCCCTCCGCGCTCCGGGATGAACTCCTGTTTCTTTTCTGCCGTCATGGTTCTACGTGCTACAGTCTTACAGGAGAAAGAAAGCTTTACTGACCCACCTTGTTTTCCCTTTACCCTTTTCTTTCATTCTGCCTGTTTTGTTTCGGTTTTTTTTGCCCTGTTCCCCCCCTTCCCCTCCCCCCTTCTCCCTTCTCTGCCCACTTCCTTTCCTTCCCGTGCTCCTCGCCCCCTCCGCCTCCCAGATAGAGAAGAGGAGGTCGGGCCACAAGGCCAACGCCACGTACTGCGTCTTCCTGGTGAACAAGCCCTACGCCGTCACGTGCTCGGCCGTGGCCTTCTACATCCCGCTGGGGCTCATGGTGCTGGCCTATCACCGCATCTACGTCACGGCGGCCGCGCACGCGCGCCACATCCAGGCGCTGCAGCGGGCGGGCGCCCCCGCGGACAGCAGGCCCGGGCCGGGCGAGCGGCACAGCGGGCCCCGCCTGCGGGCAGAGGCCAAGGCGGCCAAGACCCTGTGCGTCGTCATGGGCTGCTTCTGCCTGTGCTGGGCCCCGTTTTTTGTCACCAACATCGTGGACCCGTTCATAGACTACACGGTCCCCGGGCAGGTGTGGACCGCCTTCCTCTGGCTTGGCTACATCAATTCGGGGCTGAACCCCTTCCTGTACGCCTTCCTCAACAAGTCGTTCCGACGTGCCTTCCTGAGCATCCTTTGCTGTGACGATGAGCGCTACCGGAGACCCTCCGTCCCGGGCCAGACGGTGCCCTGCTCCAGCACCACCGTCAACGGCTCCACGCACGTGCTGCGGTGAGTGCCCAGGGGCCCGACGGACCGTGTTCCTCTGCGCGGCTCACACGGCGCAGCTCTCGGGGGGTCTGTTTCCCGAGGAGTTATTCTTTTTTATTTAGCATGTGTATACATGTATTTATTTTTCATATTGGGGTACGTACAATAAAATGCCAGAGGGGTTATTCTTGAAAACCTGTGTGTCTTTGCAAAACAGTGTTTGCAAAGATTCGAGAAAAATCCTACCATCTGGTCCTGAAATAGAGTAGCAGGTAAGGACCCAGGATCTCGGGGAGACCGACCTACGTTCAGATACAGTCTCCGTCGTTCTCTGACCAGGGGCGAGTCATTTAACCATTTGACGTAAATTTCTTTCTCTTTTTTTTAAATCGAGATCACAATGACAATATCTACATCACAGGGCTTTTGGGAGGATCAAATTAGCTAATGTATGTAGAGTGCATAGTACAGAGCCTGACACCGACTAAGCACTTAGTTAATAGTATCTACTGCTAGGGTAAAACAGACTTTGTTTGGACTTCGCTGATGCTACCACGCGTTTGTATAAGCTCCCTCGCCTTTACCTTCCTCAACTGTAAAAGCAGTGGTAGTAATAATATGCATCTCATAGGGCTTTTGTGACGATTAGGGATAATGTTTTCCTATAGGGCCTGCCTGACACATAGTAAGAGGTTATATTAGCACTAATAATGTTACTAATATTAATAGAAGTAGTAGTCATATGGCCAGAAAATAACATGATAAAATAAATAGAATGATAAATATGCGATAGTAAGTAATGTCATGTGATAAATGATAGAATGGGGATATGAGTTGGAGAGAAGCTGGTTTGGCTTAAGAGAATACAAAATAGCATTTTATAAGAACTTGAGAGTTGGAGGAGATAAAACAAAGCAATTTCAGCTTCCTTGAGAGAACAGAGTGAAGAACGAAATGGAATATGAAAGAGCACGGGAAGGTCAAGTGATGCACCCAAGGTCACATGGGAGACAAGGATGGGAGTAAATAACCTCTGAGTTGAATGTTTAGTTACTGACAAGTCATGATGCCTCTCTCCAAACCCTGAGAATTTTTCTGGCTACCCTGAGCTAGAGTTGCTCTCAGCTATAAAAAAATCATGTACGTTGAGTACATTCATCCTGTAGCAAAGCTGAATTGTCAACAACATTTTTTTTCTTTTCCCTGAGATGCACGGGAATTTCTAAAGAGCAGTTACTTCTTTGAGACAAGCATTTGATTTTTCTGGTGATGACAACATTCAGCTGTTCTGGCAACTGAGAACTGAGGCATTTGCATTTGCATGTGTAAGAAAAGAAGAAGAAAAAAATAGGAATTGCTATGAAACATAAACTGTTTGCCTCAGAGGCTGTTCAGAAGCATGAATTCAATTTCTGCTGCTCGTGTGGGCAGACTTGTAGCTAAAGCCTAGTGTGGTGTTGAGATTCCAGCTGGTGGAAGGGCCTCAAAGGGCATTCCTATAGGCTGACATTCTCTGCTAATTATTATGCCTCGATGAGTGTCGTAGAAAGAATCCAACCACGAAGTAAAGTGTGTGCACAAGACCTTGTGAGTGGGTGCCTGATGGTTTTTGGCTATTAAGGTAGCAGTTGCCCGAGTACAGGCTGTCACAACTTACAGACCGAGTGTGTGCCAGCAATGGATTGGCTAGGATGGCTGTTTAGGACTGGGGGAGCCTTTTCCCATAAAAACAGTCATAGAATGAGGTTGGGGGTTTCTAGCGCAGCCCAGGAAACCCTATGTTGCTAATGCTGCACTTACTACATACCTGCTGCATTTGGAAATCTGCAGTGTTACTGCAAATCAGAGAGAGCAGTTTAGAGGTGGCTTGTGGGTATGTATAGTCTCCCCACTTCGCTCCTTGCCTTTCTTCATTAAGTCATGAAAAGGGCAGGACGTTGGTCTGAGGACTTTTCTGTGGGGGCAAGAAATCTTATAAGAGGAGAGGCAGCCTCTGCAGAGAAGAGACTGTTTGAAACCTGAATCCATTAGAGCGCAAGCCTTCCATAGGCAGGAATCCTGCCTGCCTCGTCCGCCGCTGAACACCACATCCCCAGGACGGCACCTGACGCACACTGGGAACTTAAACTCTGCAGAAATTAATGAATGAATCACACAGTTAATTCTCTCATCAGTTGTATTAACACAACTTGAGAAGAATTCATATTTTTCTTAAAAGTCCCACAAGCAGGATGGCAACACATTCACTTGAATTCAAGAAACACAAAACTTAAGCAAACAAAAGTGAATTCTGCTTTTATCCTGCTCATCCTCCCCTGACCTCAAAGATGATTAACACTAGTCTCGGGATCTTTTCAATACATTTGCAAACATTCAGAAAAATACGCAAACTCAAGAGATTTTTTTCTCCCTTTATTTTATATACCTGAGGTCAATCTATACCTTTCTGTGTCTCCCTTTTTACCTCATAACAGTGCATTTTAGAGATCATTCCACCTCCGAACATACAGCTCTAACTCCTTATTTAACTGTTCCGTAGTCTTCTGTACTAAAAATACATATCAAAACTTATTTAATTATTTCCCATTAGTGGATATGTAGATGTTTCCAATCTTTTCCTATTAACGAGTGTATTGCTCTTAATGTCCCTGAACACATTTCTCTATGCATATATCAATGTTTCTTTCAGATTGCTCCCAAAAGGGAAATTGCTCTATTGATATGTTTATGCATTAAAAAATGTGTTTACTGTAAAACTGACCTCCTAGAACACTGTCAGGATTTGCATTCTCATCAGCAGGGTTTGGTGAGCAGGGTCCTCACCAAACACTGAATATAATGCATCTTTTATTATTTTGCTGATTTAAAAAATGCTCTTTCATTTAATTTGCACATCCCAGGTGATTTGGCAGGCTGAACTTCTTTTAAATTAATTATTAACTAATTTAAAAGTTACTGATACATGAATTGCATCTTCATATGTTTGGTGCTTTATGTGACAACTTCGTTGTATTTTTCTTGTTAATTTCTGGGTGTTCTTTATTATATTCTGAATATGAATCCCTTGTTACAGAATTTGCAAATACATCCCCCCATCTCCTGCTGCCTTTGAACTTAGGTTAACGTGTCATACATAAGTTTCCAGTTTTGCAAACACTGTCCTTACGTGGCCTCTTAGAGTCGGCCCAACTTCCTTATTGAAATATTTTCCACGTTTTCGTGAGCACCGTGCTTGCCAGGTGGTTCTCCTGACTCACCAGCACCTCTTTCTCAGCACCTTTTGCAGGTTCGTTCTTCTTTCTCTTTTTGGCCCCTGAATGTTGGAGTTCTTCAGGGCTTGGTTCATGATACTCTGCTCAGACGACATTCTCACTCGATGCGATCTAACCATCCATAGCTTTAACCGACAAAGCGTGCTGCCAGCCTCTCTTCAATTAGCGTCTTCAGGTCATAGGTGTCCTTTGAGCCCCAGACCACAAGATCCAGTTCGCTTCCTTGACGGCCCCGTGTAGGTGCCTCTTAGGAATCTCGAATTCAATGTACTGGACCCCAAGAGAATTATTCTCTATGCGCTCCCCTAATCCCCCAGCCAGGAGCCCATTTCCTGAGTATCCCCCGTCTCCATGAATCGCCTGCTATGTCACTGACTCCAGACCCGTGTCTGTGGCTCTGGGGGAGAAGTAGCATATGCGAAGGCAGGCGGAAAGAATTAGAAAAGAAGAGCCAGTCAGCTGATACTGAAAATATATATGGAGTTGAGTCCAAGTAAATGTAAAATCCATCCGTAAAGGCAAAAAGTAAATCACAGAGATGTAGAATGATGCCGGAACAAACTGGTAGGTACATGTGTAAAATCTGGAATTTGGTTCGTGCACCTTCCTTTTCCTCATCCAAAGCATCTATTGGCGAAGTACTAGGCCTCCTTCCATTATTAAGGATGATAATTATGATGAATATCGTAATTCCAGAAGAGAGCGTGCCAGTTACTCACAGTGTTTGAGAACTTTGAATCCATCATTGCATTTAACTTTTATACCAAGCAAAGAGGTTGGTATTATAATTATTGTCATTTTAAAGATGAGAAAAGCAAGGTGTAGAGGGGCAGAATAACTGGCCCCAAGTCACACAAACAGTAAACCATGAAGCTAGAATTCAGACCCAGGTCTTCCTGACTGCGGAGCTCAGCCTTGCCCAGCCCCCCTTGGGGCTTCGGCTGTTTATCTTGAATCTGCATAAGTTTGGTGACCCATTTATCAGTCTGTGAACTGCCAGACTGCTCATATTTCTCTTTCTTCTCTACAAACCGTGGAAGACTAGTAACTTGTTCGAATACAGGCATTTTTTAGTCTTTTTTCAAAAAAGGAAATAAGGTTAAGACAGATGGGCCTACTCTTAGTAATCTCCTGTGACTCCCGTCTGTGGGAACCGACTAGTCAAAGAAATAATCAGTTTAAAAGAAGCCCACCTCGGCAGCAGTGATGCTGAACTCTTCCTTCCATAGTTTGCACAACACGTGCTTTTCACACTGTTTTCAGTTGGGGCATTTGTTCTTTTCTGCCTCATCTGGATAGCGATGGCCTGTTCGCAGAACTGTTTCTCGTGGCATTTGTGTTACTCTAGACTATAGAACTCCTCATTTGAGTCCTGTAAGACCAAATATTTCTCAGTTGAACTGCTTTAGTGAATTTGGGCCCAGCTTCTCTCCCCTGTCACACCTTCAGCCTGGTAGTCGAGCTCTGTCCCCCATCCGCCAGTACCCCTTTCAGTCTTACAGAACTCACTTTTTCCACTTTAGGAAACGCACAGCAAACATAATGGCAGAGAAGGGAAGAAATAACTTAGAAAATAGTGTATAGATTCCTACTCAAGTCAGGAATGAAAAAGAATGCCTTGTCCCTTCTGCTCAACATTGTATATACAAAATCTAAATGACAGAAAGAAGAAATATGATTTACAAAAGTTAGAAAAAAAGCAAAGCTGCCACTATTTATAAACAATATGATCATTAGCAGGAAAAGCTA